GGTATGGATTAAGCAAAAAAGGTAATTCAGAACCCATCAAGTTGTCCCATCCAATAAAGGCAGGCAGTAGTTCTGCTTCAAAAGGCTGAGTGATTAAATGTATATTTATTTGTTTTTTCCCTGCTTCAATAAGCTGTGTGTGTGTAAGTGTGGTAAAATACACATAATACACTATTTATCATATTAAGCATTTTTAAGCGTTAAATACATTAACAATGTTGTGGAACCAACCCCCAGAACTCTTTTCATTTTGCAAAACTAAAACAATATACCCATTAAACAACTCTCTAATCTTCCCTCTACCCAGGCCTTAGCAACTACCATTCTACTTTCTGTCTCTATGAATTTATATGACTGCTTCTAATCTAAGTACTTTATATAAGTGGAATCATACAGTATTTGTCTTTTTATGACTGGTTTATTTAACTTAGCATATTCATTCCATTAGAACATTACTCAAGATTCATCCATGTTACGGCATGTCTTAGAATTTCCTTTCTGTTTAAGGCTTCATAATATGAATGTATATACCACATTTTGTTTATCCACTTATCTATGAATGGACACTTTGGTTGCTTCCATCTTTTGGCTAATTGTGAACAATGTTGATATGAACATGGACATACAACCACCATGGACATCTCTTCAAGATACTGCTTTCAATTCTTTTGGGTAAATGCCCAGAAGTGGAATTGTTGGATCATATGGTAATTCTATGTTTAATTTTTTGAGAAAAAAATTTTTTTAAATTAAATGAAAACCTACTTGTTGTATTCCTGTGGAAAAGAAGGCTTCTACTATACTCCAAATGTTAATACTGATTATGACTAGATGATAGGATTATGAATGAATGATGCTTACTCTCTCCCTTTAGGCTTATTATAATTTCTAGATTTTCTATAATTAACATTATTATGGTAAATAGTGAAAACATGTATAAAGCTTTTTTGCTATTACTTTTCTCTTATGTATCACAGCAAATGCTTGAATATTCCTCTCCCCTAAATATTAGGGCAAGAATACTTTCTCCCTGTATTCAGGCGAAAACTATAACATACTTTTTTTGTGTTTGTAAGAAGTAAACATTAGAGATTTTTCAGTATTTGCAAATAAAAATGATGGTTAGGCACACAGAAGACTTCCCTGGTGGTTTAGCTGTGATATAAGAGCAAAGCCCTGTGTAATGAGTGATTAAGTGATTCTACTAATTCTTCCAGAAAAAAGAACCTAGTCTGGAGAATCTATCTTCTGCCCCCAATTATCAGAATCATTGCTAAGACCCTTAAACTGTTTTGGGGTGGACAGTAATAGGCAGGTGAAATCTAGTTATGTTTATTACAATTTCTAACATACCATATGATAAGACTTTAGGCTTTTGCTTTAGAAGTTTAATGTATATAAGTAATTAATAGCCATAAAATGGGTTATAAGAGATCATCATTCTTATGGTATATATAAATAAGAAATTTTAGGGCAGAAGGAAAGTAAATGAAGACAGAATACCAGATCAAGAGGAAAGGATACTGGAAGGGGGCTAGCTAGAAAGACAGAAATAGAGGAGAGGAGAGAAAGAAGAGAGAGAAGACAACAGATCAAGACTGACTGAGAAAGACTAATTTTCATGTGTTTGGAACAGTCTAAACATGATCTTAGCTACAAGACCCCTCATGGTCTTTTCTGGAACTGAAATTCTATATAAAGTGTAATTTTAGCTCAAGTTGAAATGAGGTACTCAGTTGAAATGAGGTAAATGATATCAGCTTCGAGTTAACAAGAGTTAATGAATAAAGTCATTAACTTAAAATTTATTTTAGAAATGTTATAATATTCTAAACCTAAAATTTTGATCATTTAATAACAGAACTCTTAGTAATCTAATGCATCAACTGGCAGCATATACCTGAAAAAGAGACTATTTAATGTCTTATAATTTGTTTATACCTAAGCAAAACACTTGGTCATTTGCTTTTATTCATTAATCCCAATAAATATGGTTAGGATTTTTCTCATCTTACCTATTACTGCCTATTCCCTTATCTCAACCATCTCCAAATTAACTCTTCTGAGAATAGTCATTTCTAAAATAAACAGGTACCTTTTTCCTAGAGCTGGCTGCTAAAATGGCTTATAAGGTAACATATATGAATAACTCCACAAAGCTTTACAATTTTCATATGGTTAGATATGAAATAGAAATGGTTATTTGTGAGGTACTCGTCTGGAGCAGCAGCAGCAGTTGCCTGAATTTCTCCAGAAAGCAACAGACTTCCCAAGCAATCCCTTCTGCCCTCACTTCCAAAGGTTTTTGTAGGACAGGAATGGTTAACAGAGTGTAAGAGAAGAAGGCTTTAAGATAAGGCCCATTCCAAGCTTAGAGAAAGATTCTTCTAAGATCTGATTTAAACACTGAGAGCCAGTTCCAGCAGTCGAGAAAGTATTAAAGAAAAAAACAGGAAAGACAGAAATCCTCAGTATTACTGAAGTATCATTTCAGGCATGAGCATCAAAGCTTAATATCACAAAATATTTAGCCATCTAGTGATATTAACAAGTAAAAGGAAAATGGAAAAATTGGAAAGTTGTCTCTTTGTTCTCTTTGATGGTGTGCTACCAAGGAATGAACTGGCTTAAGGATATAGGTTGCTAAAAAGGGAAGAAAAAGTAAAACTGTGATGATATTCTTTATTTTTTAGAAAAGAGGTCTCACTCTCTCTACCACCGAGGCTGGAATGTAGTGGTATGATCACAGCTCATTGCAGCCTCAAACTCCTGGGCTCATGCAATTCACCAGCCTTAGCCTCCCCAAGTACTAGGATTATAGGCCTAAGCCACTGTGCCCAGCTGGTAGTCTTTAAGTCAAGTCTTCTTTATGCTCAAAAGCATCATCAGAATGATAACCTCTACCAGTATATAAAAAACAAAACTTCTGCAAATTATTACACTCTATAAACAAATCTAGAAAGTACTTGTAAGAGTCACTGTATTGTAGAAGCAATGCTATCATCAATGAATATCAATGGTTAAGATGTATAAATTCTACAACTGTTCTTATGTTCTCAGTAATTCAAAATATTTTTAGAAATGGTTTTAGGCATGCAATTTCGTTAGCAACTTTTTAAATTTTTTGTCTGAATATCATAATTTTTCAAAATAATGTAAGCCCTTTATACCTAAGCACCAAACTTTCACAAAAGTGGACAAAAGAACATTATTTCATTATTCATTAACATATATCCCTCATAAATTATAGTATTTTTGAAATATTGAGAAAATGTGTTTTATTTATAAGCATATGCTAGGTATCACAATATTTAAGAAAACACCTACTATAAAATGCAGGAAGGGGGACCCTTAAACTTAAAATAAGTATTTTGATGTCTCTGAACATTTTCTTGTTTCTTTGAGGATAAGTTCACATATTTCTTCTCTATGTATCAGTGTGAGAAGATACCCTAGAAACTGATAGCTATTTTTCATATTTCAGAATAATGAGGTAAGAAATATCTATTGATCCATTAAAAGCTGTGACTTAATTAAGCCACGAGGATATATTTTATGTTTAAATCTTCAATCCATGGTTCTGACAGGCCATGTGACTTCATAAGAGGCATAAAGAGAAAATGTTTCCCAAGAGGGGAGGGGGAAAAAAAAAAGGATGGTACTCCACATGGCCTCCCAGCCTAGTTTTCTTCTCACTTTCAGTGCTTTCTGACACAGCAAAGATGGTTAAAAAGCTTGAACTCTAACTTCTGTTTATGTGCCAGGTACTCAAAATAAACTTTCAAAGACATCAGAAATTTGAGGGCTAGAGTTTAGGAGGTGCAACAAACATACGTCTTTATGCACTGTGCCTAAAATGTATCAAGGAGATTCTAGGTCAACAGATCAATGATTTTATTGAGACAGAAACTGTAGAACTCCACATAATTTAATTGATTACTTCAGCTTTACATTTCACCTAAACAAGGTGGAAAATAAACAAAGATCTGAATTATTTCAAAAGAAAATGAAAATACCCAAGCAAGCTGGTTTTCTTACCACAAGACTGTTCCATGAAGAAAATGTTCTAGATATTTTTCCACTTTAAGTAAGCTAAAATAGATGTCAGTTCTTAACAACAATGTATTTAAGGACTGTATAGGTAACTAACCTTTGGTTACAATGATCATTTTGCCAAAGTGGCTTTTAGTTTTCCTATTCTCACTGGATAAATTAAGAGTAACTCTCATAGGGATACATATAAAACCAAGAGGCCAGCAGTTAGCAATTGTATTGTTTAACAAAACAACAAACCGTATCATCTACTATATGTAATATATTGCAGCTTAAAAACTGGATACATTTCTTAAAAGTTTTTCTGTCTTATATCTTACAAGTTCAATTCATCTCAGTGAGGGATACTATTTAAAAAGCATTACTAAAATAATTCCAGAAATGACACTGTTTGATTCTTCATGTTACAAACCTGAAACACTTGGATATAAGATTGAAATAAACAATCTCCTAATCTTAAGAGAGAAAAATTCACTTTAGTCACTGTTCTAAAGACAAAAAAACAATATAAGCTATGTAAACCATGACTTTAAAATAATGTGCTAAATATACAAAAATAGTCTCTTCCATAGCATTTTACCAAAAAAATCATCCAGAATCCATGTTTTCTTCTCTTGAATGATCCTCCCTTCTTTGTTTACTTTTTTATATTGTGCTTCTTTAAAAAAATGTTCTTTTTCCAATTACAGGAAGGAAATAAAAAGAAATGCAACTCTTTTATGTAAAGTAAATCCATCTGGATGTTTGCTGCATCCCATACTATAAACCTGTGATCCCCAACCAGAATGAGTTATAGTAAAGCTGCAGGCAAAATTGTCTCCATATACCACAATCCATTATCCCTGTCAAGTTAATGTTCCATGTTGAGCCATATGGCACGGGTACACATTCAACAAAGGAAATTCCTTAAACTTGTTATAATCAGCACTTGCAGTCATCCAAAAAACTGACATAAACAGCTTTATTGTGTTTAGTGCATTTCAGTTAATATCCATGACAAAAACAGGAAACAGTACAGGAAAAGGAGGAGGAACGTGGGGGTGCAGAGTTATTAAAAAAAAAAACAAACACTCAAACTGTACATTTTATAATTAGATTTTTTTTTCCCTAAGCAAGTGATTTTCAATTACAGTAAGCTCCCAATCTCTTGACGATGATCCACTGGGCTAGATTTAAGAGAAAAAAAAATTTAATGGCATCAATTTTCCATGGTACGAGCAAACCTAAACCTTCAAGTCTTAATAGTATATGATTCATATAAAGCAGTTCTGGCAAAATAATGAAGGATTTGAATTTTCATGTTTGTTTTCTTTCTACAGTTGTCTTGTAATTGCTAAAATCTAATGGTGCTTCAGTTAAAAATAAGGCAATTTAAATAAAGTATCTTTATATGCATTAAGTGTAGGTCGCAGACAAATCAAGGACTCCCAGAAGCCTTTGGTACCTGGCACAGCCCAGCACATCAAACTCCAGTCAAGGTACAAGTAGAGCAGAACTTCATTTCAGCCCCCGCAGTGACAACAATAAAACGCTGAGAAAACACACTATCAAATACTGAACTCAGCATCAATTTCTGTTAATTACAGCCTTGTCAGCAACGTGATTATTCAAACAACTCATGCAAATGTTAATGAGGCCTTATTTGCATATTTATTTTTTCCTTTGTTGAAATGTCATTGATTATTACATTCTACTATGATGAATGTGGCTGATGATGTGCTCTGATATGTAATTAGTCATTAGGTGGAATGAATAGATCAATTATGAAAAAGGACTAAGATTAAGAAATATCAAACAAGACCTCCCAATATAACTATAGAATCTTTTTAAAAAAGAACCTAATAAATAATTTCTTGACATTTAAACTGCAACATCAGTAGTTTTCAATAAATAAACCACTACTTTTGTGAGGTTAAATAAAGGCTTAAAAATACATCAGCACTTTGATAATCCAATTATGATTACAGAAGCCATCTTTAAAAAATTGCAAACCACCTCAAGTGGCATGTCAGAACAACAAATAGCAAGAAAAAAGAACATATTTTGCTTTAAACTCACATAAACTGGAAACAGAGAAAGTATATTTTAATCTAGTATGAAGAGGAATAAAAACAGGTAAAAAGAGGAAGGCATATAACATCCTAGAGAGAAGGGGTAGTAACCTGATGGAGAATGTCTACCTTCACAAAAAAAGGTGAGCAAAAACAAACTCCTTCAAGTCCTAATTTGTTCTTAGAGGAAAAGGATTATTTAGCCTCTGAAACTGTTTGCTGTAACTATCCAGCCAGCACTTGCTATTCACAGATGAAAAAAAAAAAAAAAACTACATTACTGCAGACCAGATGGGAACATTCCACATGACCAAACCAATCAATCACCTCGGTGGGGCGCAGGTGCAACACAGCCGTGTAGCAACACACCATTTCACAGTCTATCGGGCACAAACACATGGCCACCAATCAATGGCACCCCGAGGACCTTGGAGGGGGCAGGCTCTCTGGAGTCTTACTGGTCCATGCCTGATGACTTCATAATCACACATCATTTCATTCACTAGAGGATACAAACTAGCATTCTAATAACCTTCTACTGAAAATGGTCATGTTGTGCATATTAATACAGTGCTGTTTGGAGTGAAGCAACTGACTTTACACGGCAGGCTAGGCAAGGCATGCAGGGCTAAAACAACCTGAAGCTAGAAACTTCTTCCTATTTGAAGATGGCTATTCTGTTCAGGGTGAGATCAACAGTAACATGATTCATTCTGCCACATCAAAGTTGGCATGTAAGGCTCGTATCTTACACAAAGCAACTGTTAAACAACAGTATGCTCGGAGAGATAAAGTACAAAGGAAGATGAAAATAAAAATGGTAGTTGGTAATCATGCAGGAAGGATAAAAAGGCACTGCATTATTCTAAAATAACACAACCAAAACTGAACTGCAAATAAAAATGGGGTGACCATGAATAAAGAGTCAATGTATATATGCAGGCTTTGTTTCCCTGACATTTTTCCAGTGCTAGAGGGGTGACTCTGTGCAGTGCATGATTATAGGGGAAGATATATAGAACAATTTATAGTACCAAACACTGCTATAATTCCATCAAGGCAGAACTCTATGCTGTTTGGTAGCATCCACAGAGCTCCTGTTGGCTCCTTTTACTCAGAGAGATTATAGGCAGGAATATCCTGGATAAAATAGTTCTTTGAATAACTGATTCACTATATTTCATATACAGATGACCGCTATTTAAAAAGAAAAACCAGGAAAAATATGCTTCTTCCTAAAAAAAAGTGAACCAGCCAATTCAAATCCTTGGTGGAATAAGGACAGATGTACATCTGTTTTTAAACAGCAAGATTTCTTTGATAATTCAGAGGGCAATTTGGGACCTTACAGGTCCTTAGATCCCATTAGGAACATGAATCACCAGAGCCAGGATTCATGTGGAAACCAGGGGAAGGCATGTTGTAGAGTCTAAACTGACCCTTTGACAACCCTAAAAGTTGATTTGAGTGATTTGTTTTTGATACTAATATGTTTATTTTGTCTCTCATAAAACAACATATAGAAAATCTAATTATCTTACATTGAAGATTTGGATCCTGGGTATGTGTTTACTTATAGACATGAATACCATAATTTTCACATATGAAGCTAATAGTGATTATATATCCTGTAGTCTAAAAGAAAAAATGTATATTCAATGAAAATATACCTACTCTAAGAGACTCCTTTTGGAAAAGAAATCTAGTGATTAATCAAAGGAAGATATTATTATTGTTGTTCTAAAAAGAGATAACTGGCAAGATAAAATCACTAGTGTTTTATTACAAACCATTTACTTTAAAAAGCATATCTAAATTCTTTCCAAATGGAAGTATCTTAGACTAGAGAAGGATTCAAGATTCAAGTCAGAAGACTTAGATTCTATTTCTGGTTATTTCTAATGAGTTGTGTAGTTTTCATCAGACCAGATAATGCCAATGACTTCAATATTTGTTGTATACAGAATGATCATATTAGAGAGGATCTTGAAGTTTCTCCCTATTTATGATCTCCCTTTGTGAATTAGCATATCTTTACTCAAAGGCTCTGTCTAGTGGACTATTATGTAAGGATGAATAGAGATCAGGTGTGCCAGTTCAAAAAGTACAGGAGGGAAACCATAGGAAGACGTGCTTACTGTTATAATGGATAAGCAGTCATTTTAAACAGATAATGAGTGGTTGCTCTTATAAGGATACAAAAGACAAGGCTTTAGTTTACAGAGTAAAAGTAAAAATAATAATATTTGAATTGATGTTTGCTTGCTTCCCAAACAGAATAATAATACCATTTTTCAAATGGTATCATATAACCCACCACCTAAACAAAATCATAAAAAAATGAACACTAAAAACTCACACAGAGACAGAGCTTTCCATGCTTTGTTGAAGCTAAAGATGACGTGGATTACACTCATTTAACAGAGAAGGGAAAATATAAACTTAAGAGTGGTGACTGGCCTCATCAAATCAGCAGGCCAAACTGAACAGCATTCAAAGCTATTAACCCCAGGCATGTCTTAAGTGATGCCTGGTTAACAGGCATTTAAAAAGAAAAGAAAAAACACATTTTTTTCTTTTTTTTTTTGATTCCAAGTTCAATCCTAAGTGAAAGCACCTATGTTTGAACCTATTCCCCTGAAGACACAGGAGGTATATTATTAAAAATATGCCTGACCATAATGCTCTGAAAAGCAAGTAGAAAATGGACTTTTACTTTTTAACCACTTCGGGACCAGGATCGACTATAGTCAATAGCCACAGATGAACGGGCACAGCAATTTTAGCCCACAGCTGTGATATGATTTTCCCAATTTTTCATTTATCAAAATAAAATTGTGAACATTTAAAAATAACGTAATGTTCCAGGAGGGAAGTGTTTAGAGAGAAAAAAAAAAAAAATAAAAAATAAAAATAACGTAATGAAAACATATATGTATATGTTACCTATTCTGATTTACATTACTAGTAAAGCTGCCTGTTAAGTAAAACAAGCTTTCAGTGCTTTAAAGCAGGGGTCCTCAGACTTTTTAAACAGGGGACCAGTTCACTGTCTCTCAGACCGCTGGAGGGTCGTTGGAGAGTGCGGGGCGCACATTCCACACACGCGCACTGTGGACCTGGGACGAGTTGGCTGCTAAGCAGGACAGGCAGCACTGTCCTCGGTGGGCCGCATGTGGCCCTCAGGCCATAGTTTGAGGACGTCTGCTCTCAAGCTTTCCTCATCACACAAGAGCAAAACAGATTCGTCGTCAATGCACAGCACAAACTATTGTGCGGAATATGAGTGCTGGCTGTGGGCAAAGTTTCCCGGCCGGTGAGCAACGTACTGAAGTGGTTAACTACCATGAATACAAAATGGTATTTAAAGGCAATATAGGAAGAGGTTGGGAGAGGCTTCTAAATCCCAGTTCTGTGACTTACTAATTTTGTGACTTTATGACCCATTACCTAAACTTTCTAAACTTAAATTTCTCGATTTAAGTTTAGATTAACTATTTATAGTAATATTATTCATGAACAATATGAATACTAATTCAGGGAGTACTTATAGCTCTGGAGTTGTTGTGAAGATATTAGCTATGTATATGGTACTTAGCAACATGCCGAACACAGCAAATATTGAATTTTTCATTATCATTTAATATTAATAAAACATACTAATTTGAAAGTATCAAAATCAGAAGAAAAAATGTCTTTAATGCTCTAGTTTCAGATCATAAACAGTAATGATCCTAACTCCATTGTTTAAAAAGATAATACTTCACAAGAAAATTGAAGGCTCTCTTATGGTAACCAACAATTAATTGCAGATGTTAGTCAATGTACTCCACTGCTGGTTCCATGATAATATACCCTAGTGAACCTGCATTATTAATAGTAAAATCCTACCAAGAGAGGTTTTTCTTTCGTCTAGAAAGATTTCTACCTTTTCTTTCTCCAGAGTTAGTTGTACAAAGTAAAAAAAAAAAATTGTAAAATTTGTACACGATTTATAGATGCTGCTTCTCTACAATCCACAAAGAAACAAAATGCTCAATAAATCAATAAAACATGTCAGTTGTCCTTGCTCACTATAAACTACATTTAAAAATAGACTAGTTTAGGCTGGGCGTGGTGGCTCACGCCTATAATCCTAGCACTCCAAGAGGCCGAGGTGGACGGATTGCTCAAGGTCAGGAGTTCCAAATCAGCCTGAGCAAGACCGAGACCCCGTCTCTACTATAAATAGAAAGAAATTAATTGGCCAACTAATATAGATATAAAATTAGCCGGGCATGGTGGCGCATGCCTGTAGTCCCAGCTACTCGGGAGGCTGAGGCAGCAGGATCGCTTGAGCCCAGGAGTTGGAGGTTACTGTGAGCGAGGCTCATGCCATGGCACTCTAGCCCAGGCAACAAAGTGAGACTCTGTCTCAAAACAAACAAACAAACAAACAAACAAACAAACAAACAAAAAACAGACTAGTTTTAAGGTAACAGCATCATATGGAAACCAGAGTTCCTCAACCATTCTAGCTGAAAGAGCATTTTGTGGTCATACATCAAGGTACTCATCCAAAATTGAGCCTTTCATCTGCTAGAGACAATTTATCCTAGAGAGGCGCAATTGTTAAGAAGAGAGCTTACTTAGTTACATTGCATTTCAAATTGATCCAAAGAAACAGTCTATTAAATTCCATTCCTTAAAAAGTTTTTTATAAAATCACCAACATATGCTTTTATAGCAAAGATATAAAAGACAATACCATGTTACAGTAACTAAGTTTACCGACTCATAGTAGCCATTTCACAGTACAGGAGGATTTTCAGTATGGGCAAAAAGGAGGAGTTGCTGGGTGGAGTACAGTGTTGAATCCAGAAGGAATCTGAAAGATCTATCTTTAGATCTAGTGGTTACAAACTGTCAAATGAACTCTGGTGAATTACTTGTATGCCTGCACACCCTCTCTCCCCCTCTCTCTAAACCTTAGTTTCTTCATCTGTGAAATTGGAGAAGTAATGGGAAAGAAATGAACATTTAGTAAATTTTTACTAAGCGTCGGACCCTGTGCTAGGCATTAGATACATTCTTTGACTACATATCATCCTCAAGGATACAGCAAGATCAGAATTTCTACCTTCATTTCAGAGATTAAAGCACTGAGTCTCAAATAGACATTTCTCCAAAAAGAAGAGGTATAAGTAGTCAGAAACCACATGAAATGATGCTCAATATTTTCAGTCATAGGGAAATACAAATCAAAATCTCAAGGATGTTTTCACAACCACTAGGATGGCTAAAATAAAAAAGATAGACAAATGTTGGCAAAGATGTGAAGAAACTGGAACATTCATAAATTGCTGGTGGGATTATAAAATGGCGCACAGCCACTTTGGAAAAAAAAGTTTGGCAGTTCTTCAAATGGTTAAACATAGAGTTAATTCACTCCTAGGTATATACTCAATAGAGTTATTATTCATAATAGCCAAAAAGTAGAAAAATCCCAAATCTCAGTCAATTGATAAATAGATAAATTAAATGTGGTATATCCATTCAATGGAATATTATTCAGCTATAAAAAATAAACTAGTTATATAAGCTACTATATAGATGAAGCCTGAAAATATGCCAAGGGAAAAAAGCCAGTCATTTATTGTATGATTCTATTTATATGCAATGTCCAGGTTGGGCATGGTGGTTCATGCCTGTAATCCCAGCACTTTGGGAGGCTGAGGCAGGATTATTGCTTGAAGCAAGGAGTTTGAGACCAGCCTGAGCAACACAGTGAGACCCCATTTATTCAAAAATTTAAAAAGTGAATTTGCCAGGCATGGTAGTGTGTGCCTACAGTCCTGGCTACTCAGGAGGTTAATGCAGGGGAACTGCTAGAACCCAGGAGAGTTTGAGGTTCCGGAGAGCTATGATGTTGCCACTGCACTCTAGCCTGGGCAACAGAGCAAGGTCCTGTCTTTTTAAAAAATATATGTGTGTATGTATGTGTTTGTGTATGTTTATATATAAATATGTCCAGAATAGGCAAATCCATAGAGACAGAAAAATTAGCTGTTGCCAGGGACTAGGTGAGGGGGAAATGGGAATTGACTTCTAATAGGCACAGGGTTTCTTCATGGGGTGATGAAAATGTTCTGAAATAATCAGTGATGATGATTTCTCAACTCTGTAAATATACGGAAAACTACTGAATTGTATACTTTTAAAGGGTGAATTTTATAGTTAATAAATTATATCTCAATAAAACTATTATTAAAAACACTGAAGCACACAGTAGAATACTGGTTACAGGGGAGAAACAAAAAGCCAACAAAAAACCCACCAAATTTCAAAGGTTTAAAAAATAATAAAACTTTCCACATAGGGTTATGAAGATTAATGAAATGAACAAAGCTAAAGCAC